GTCACTGCTTCTGATGTAAGGGTCTCATGACTTGTAGGCTGCAATTTGTCAGCAGTATCTTTTCTAAGGTGACCATACTTTTTTCTCCTTGACCATGAACCCGGGGTGACTCTGTTCAAAATGTTTGAAACGACTGGTTTTGAATTTGAAGTCACCCCAACAAAGATTAGCTCAGCATCTTCATTTACATGTTCCACACCAACAAAGATGAGCTCAGCGTCTTCGTCATCTACTTGTTTGGTTTCTTTTATGTTCTTCTGTGGTTCAGGCTCTTTCTCTTCCTCACATGATTGTTCCATTTTCTAATGTTTTTTATTCTTGAACAGTGTGTGGCCACAAGTCCCAATGCTTCCTTTATATAAACTGCCACCTAAGTACAAACATACATCAGTAAGTACAGGAAAATGCATTACCTTATTTAATTCTCCTCTAAAACATTAAGGTTTTTATAAACATCACTATTTTACAGATAAGAACACTGAGACTGAAAGAGGATAAATAACAGCTTAAAACCTATCATAAAAGATCAGGTTCCTATGAATCCAGAATCATAACTTTGCTGTACTGATTATGCTCTCTTCCATTAAAAAAAAAAAAAAGAAAAATCTTCCAGCAACTAATCACTAGGCAAAATTGTATGGAAAAGGACACACATTTTTACCAGGGCATCATTGTGCAGTGTTTAGAAACATGGACTTTGGAGTTGAAGAATAAGCTGGAATCCTCAGTCTGCCACACACCAGCTGCATCCGCTTTATCAAGTTTTTTACTTTTAAATGTATTTTGCTATCTTAAAGGCAAAAATTCTATTTCTTAGACTTATAGTAACAGCTGGTTTTTTAAAAGCACCACCTATTCAATGGCAGCTTGATTTGTAGTGGAATTGGAAGAAAATTACATTAAATGTACATATCTCAATTGATTCATATATAGTAATCCCATAAACATCAGTACAGAAAAGAGGTATTAAATTTATAGTTAGAGTACCTACACATAGCCAACAAACAGCATAGCACAATGTCAAGTGCCAGGCAGATAATCTCATCCCAACTCATGGCCTTAATTATAATCCATTCACTAATGCCTCCTAAATTTTTCCCTCCAGTCCTGACTTACCCACTGAACTTAAACACAACAGTGCTTCCTCCCTCAATCCACCTCAGTCTCTCCTCCACATAGCAAGCAGATTGATTGTGTTAAACAAAGTCAGACTGTATCATTGTTCAGCTCAAAACCCTCCAATGGCTTTCTGATTAACTGAGAGTAAAAGACCAAGTATTACCAATGCCTAGAAGACCACACTACCAACCCCACATACTGCTCCTGCAGTTATCTCATACTACTCTCCCCGATCTACTTCACTCTAGCCACACTAACCTCCTTACTATTTATTTTTTATTTTAATTTTTTGAATTAAATTTTATTTTTTTGAGATAGAGTCCCGCTCTGTCGCCCAGATATATAACTTAGCTCACTGCAACCTTCCAGGTTCAAGAGAGTCTCCTGCCTCAGTCTCCTGAGTAGCTGGGACTACAGGTGCGCATCACCACATTCACCTAATTTTTGTATTTTCAGTAGAGATGGGGTTTCACCATGTTGACCAGGCTGGTCTCGAATTCCTTCTCTCAAGTGATCTGTGTGCCTTGACCTCCCAAAGTGCTAGGATTATAGGCATGAACAACTGCACCTGGCCCTCCCTGCTATTTCTTGAACATACTAAGCTCTTTTCCTTGCTCAAGGCCCTTGTTCCCTCCAATATGAATGATCATTTGAGTAACTGCATGGCTAGCTCCTCACTGCCCTTAGAGCTCTATTCCAAGTATCTCTCAGTGAGGTTCTCAAATATTCCAACCAACCTCTAACCCACATTCCTAATCTCTTTTCCCTTTTCTTTCATCCCCAAAGCCCTATCATCATTTAACATATTACAATCCTATTTATCTTGATTATTTTCTAATGTCCATCCAGTGGAACACAAAACTCAAAGGACAGGTATTGTATCTTCTGTTGACTGTTGTATACTCAGCACAAAGAACAGGGTCTGACACAGGACAGGTGCTCAACAAATACAGAATTTGTTAAATGAATCAATAAACAGCACTCTCCTTCATAAGATCCTTTATTTTTAAAGAAGATTATGCTCCATTAATTCCACATTTTCTATAAATTTACTCTAAGAACTTTATCCGTTGGAAATTCTGTAGGCCGATAAAGGACTTAAAGCAAGCACATACACATAAATAATAACTACCTTTACTACACAGGCTGAATTCTAAAATTTTCCATTTCATTTTTTTTTTTTTTTTGAGATGGAGTCTAGTTCTGCCACCCAGGCTGGAGTGCAGTGGCATAATCTCAGCTCACCTCTGCCTCCCAGACTCAAGCAAGTCTCTTGCCTCAGCCTCCAGGGTAGCTGGGATTACAGGCACATGCCACCACACCCAGCTAATTTTTGTATTTTTAGTAGAGAAGGGGTTTCACTGTGTTGGCCAGGCTGATCTCGAACTCCTGACCTTGTGATTCACCAGCCTCAGCCTCCTAAAGTGCTGGGATTACAAGCATGAGCCATGGATTAGAAGCCCGAGCTGCGCCCAGCCTCATTTTTAAAAAAATTAACCAATGACCCACAAAATCAGTTAAGCCTCATTACTAGGTCTATTAAAAAATAGAGAGTGAAAAAATGAATCCAATGAGACATTTTAATTCTTAAAGACTAAGCAGTTAACAGCAATAGCATCAGATATAGCTGTGCACTAAGTCAGTTTTAGCAGAAAGAACACAAAACCAGACTTCAGGAATTAGGCATGTCAGTGCTAACTCTGTCTACAAACCCTCCATATAACTATAGTAAATCATAAACGTTTTGGTACTTTAAAAATTAATCTTCAGACAGGCTGGGCACAGTGGCTGAGGCCTGTAATGCTAGCACTTTGGGAGGCCGAGGCGGGCGAATCATGAGGTCAGGAGATGAAGACCATCCCGACCAACATGGTGAACCCCGTCTCTACTAAAAATACAAAAATTAGCTGGGCGTGTTGGCGCACCTGTAATCCCAGCTACTCAGGGGGCTGAGGCAGAAGAATAGCTTGAACCTGGGAAGGAGAGGTTGCAGTGAGCTGAGATCGTGCCACTGCACTTTAGCCTGGGCTAAAACTGGTCTAATAATAGCAAAATGTAGGCACTAGAAACAAACCAAGGTTCATAATTCACCAATTTCTAAAAACATATCAAGATTCACTGTATCCCAATGTGGACCCTTCAAATCAGCATAATCCAAAGCATAAAAATTAAACTGACATCTAATATATGCCATGCACACTGTTTTAATTTTAATGAGGATATCAGTATCTAATTTTGGAACATAGACAACATTTATTCCTATAAATATGTGTATCACCTTGGAAATGAATTTTAATAGGAATACAATATTAAGCATAATACAAATTATGTATTCTTTTCCTTATTTACTCTAAAACTATTATTTTGTTTGCCTATTTCTGGTCAGATATTGTGCAAAGCACAGAGTAGACAGTGGCAAATGCATGAAATATACAAACTGGTGTATCATGAATAGTGATTTACAACTTCATTAGTAGATATATAATGCCACAAAAAAATAAGGCAGATATGAATACACTGCTCTTTGGAGTCAACTAAAATTGGTTTACTCTGTCTATATACAACCTAAATTGCCTAACTCCAGGTTGATGCCACCTAGCCCAGTTAGTCCAGTGTTTCCTAAGCATTACTGACATTTGGGACCAGATAATTCTTTGCTGGGGGTTGTCGAGAGCACTATAGGATGTTTAGCAGCATCTGTGATCTCTACCCACTAGAAACCAGCAGTAATTTCCCAGGGTGGCAACTAAAAATGGCTCCAGGAATTACCAAATGTCCTGTGGGAAAACTCGTGCCCAAATCCAATCTTCTTCTCAGGATCACTTCCACATTTCCAGTAACTACCTTCTAGGTAATTCTAAATGTATTTTCTAACATCCTCTCTAAAGAAAATATCTGGCTGGGCACGGTGGCTCACACCTGTAATCCCAGCACTTTCAGAGGCTGAGGCAGGTGGATCACAAGGTTAGGAGTTTGAGACCAGCCTGCCAACATAATGAAACCCTATCTCTACTAAAAACACAAAAAATTAGGTGGGCGTGGTGGTGGACACCTGTAATCCCAGCTACTCATGAGGCTGAGGCAGGAGAATCGCTTGAACCCAGGAAGTGGAGGTTGCAGTGAGCTGAGATCACGCCATTGCACTCCAGCTCGGGTGACAGTGCGAGACTGTGTCTCATAAAAAAAAGAAAATATTCTAAATCAAAATCATTAATATTCTCCAATATCCTAAAAAATTAGACTATACTCTGACAACATGGCCATTAGATTTACCTGAAAATTAACTAGTTTATTATTGTTACTATTTTTTCTTTTTCAAGATGGAGTCTTGCTCTGTTGCCCAGGCTAAAGTGCAGTGACACGATCTCGGCTCACTGCAACCTCTGCTTCCCAGGTTCAAGCTATTCTACTGCCTCAGCCTCCTGAGTAGCTGGGATTACAGGTGTGCCAACACGCCCAGCTAATTTTTGTATTTTTAGTAGAGACGGGGTTCACCATGTTGGTCGGGATGGTCTTTATCTCCTGACCTCATGATTCGCCTGCCTCGGCCTCCCAAAGTGCTGGCATTACAGGCCTGAGCCACTGTGCCCGGCCAATCTGAAGATTAATTTTTAAAGCGCCAAAACGTTTATGATTTACTATAGTTATATGGAGGGTTTGTAGACAGAGTTAGCACTGACATGCCTAATTCCTGAAGTCTGGTTTTGTGCTCTTTCTGCTAAAACTGACTTAGTGCACAGCTATATCTGATGCTATTGCTGTTAACTGCTTAGTC